CATTCAAGTAAATTCTGATAGGTTGAGTCAAGACCGTCTATTAATTTGAAACCCACTCAAATTTAATCAAACTTATTCATTGTCACCTCAATTAAAAGGAAGGCAAAAAGTAGCCATTGAGGGTAGGATATGCCCGTTTGGATTGGCTTAAAAAAAGTAGCTTTTAAGCATAAGTGCTTAAAAGCACTTTTTAAGTGCTAGAGCTGGTTTTATAAATAAGCAGTTATGCGTTTGGATAAAAGTGCTGGAGCTGAAAAAAAGCTGTTGAAATGTTTGGTAAACAAGTGCTGGTAAGCACTTTTTCTATTAAAATGACTGAAATATCCTTAAAGTTGTTAACACTATAAAGAAGCTTATTACTATAATATTTTATTTCAAACTTATTAATATAAATACGAAATAATTAATATTTGAACTGATCGCCTAAGATAATTTTTATAAATATAATTGTTGAACTCTTATTTTTCACTTCTTTCAACCATGTAAATTTTTTTATTTAATTTTCTTGAAATTTCCAAGTCTTACTGGGAAAACACATGAAATGACTATCACATTTTATTATTCTATTCCTTATTTGAACTATGTAAAAATTTCTAATATTTAGGAAATCAAAATAAAATAAACTTGTACTTTTTAAAATTATTTGAAAATTGTACGTATAGTTAATTAGAAATTACAATGCAACTAGAATTGTTGGTCGCACACGAGTTTAAATTCTTAGGAAAAAAAAAAATCAAACACAAGTACAATACTACAATCTATGTAAGAGATATTAAAGTTAAGTATGTTTAGCAAGCTTCGTCTGTTATGACTTCGCATGTATATCGGTTTTATTAATTTATAATTTGTTTTATAAAGATTTACAGATGATTATTATATAAATAAATATTTAATCATTTTATACTAATATTTAGGACTATTTTTCCTTCCTTTTAGGTTTAGGAGTCTTATTTCCTATCTCATGTTTTAATTATTTAGTAAAAAAACTTCATTAGGTAAATGTCGTATTCACCTTTCAAAGCAAAGTTAAACTTCAAAGTAAGTTCACGTTCTGACAAATTTTAAAAGTTTGAGTTGGATATTATAATTATTTCAAAAGTTTGTGAAGGACATTTTTGGAATAATAAATATATGGGACAAGAGGGTAAAATACTTGGTCAAAGATAGTTGGCTTTTAAGCTGGAAAAAAAAAGTTGGGATCAACCAACTTGTGGCTTTTGGCTTTTTTTAAGCCAGTTTTAACTTTTTTTAAGCTGTTTTCTTTTTTGTCAAATACTTCCAACATCTAAAAATAGCTTAAAAGCTAATTTGGCCAGTTTTTAAGCCAATCCAAACAGGCTCAATGTCAGCTTTGGTTTGGATGATCCTCCGCAAAATCTAGCCCACAAAATAAAGATGTGAAACACATTAGATAAAACGTGGGCTGATCTTGTCCACTAACGTGTCGCCTTGTTCTTTGTCTGTTAGTTAAACTATCAACTTATCAACTCTGACTTTCCATCATTTGTCTAGAGAAAATAACACCCTATGTCCCACGCAAAAATGTAGGAAAATATTTAATTCAGATTCAATCCATGTAAAATAAGAACGGCATGGCATAATTTTATATACATCACTTAATTATTAGAAATTAATACATGTTTTTCGTCTAATTGATTCTTTATGAGTAGATAACCATGATTTGGTATATAATAATAATCTTCTTTTTTTTCCTTCAAAAATATTGTGTCTGTTTGATTTATGCTATTCCCCGATCGGCAAAAGCACCCTAGTTTAGTTAATTTATGTTCTTAAAGGAGTTTCGTATTTGTCTTCATAAACGTACTAACACCAAAACTTATACATAGACTAATTTTAGGGTACGTGAGTTGCACGTGTTTACAGCGTCATTCAATTAAAACTTATGTAAAAGAACAAGTCAGGTAAAATTGTAATGGACATTAAAGTAGATGCAAATAAAGAATATTAAAAGTAAATATGCATGTATATTATTGTGGGGAAAAAAAATACATGTAAATGACTAATATATTAATCATAGGAGTAAAAGATTGTACGTACATTTAATGTTAGATAAAAAAAAACATGTAGTAACAATATTCTGGAGAGTAAAGTTTTATGTCAAATATGCGAAAAACATTTGTTGGTGATGTATAATTCTAAATATTAGGAGTTTCTATATAGTTAAAATAAGAAAAAAAATAAAATTTAAATTATTTGATTTTAAAATTTTAAAGAATAGAAGATTAATTAAATTATAACTTTTTCTAATATGAAAGCTGTTTTAAAGGACAAAAAATGCGAATAAAATTTTGCTAAGGAGTCATGCTTTAAATATAGTATCGATAGATGTAAAGTACGTGCGTTGCATCTTATTGTATGTTCGTTGGGCGTTACCTCGTATCAATGGGAATATTTTTTTTTAAAACTACGTAAGTATTATTCAAAAGATGTATTTGCGTTATAATATAAGAATTAACAAAAAATTATAAGTTTTAAATGATAATTGTGTTAATTATGTTTAGGAATTTGATCTATTCTAGTAGTTCTTCCTTTAGTTTGTTCAAATACTTGCTTCATTATACAAAAATATCATAGGAATAATATTTAATTGAAAAGTGAAAATATATTTTGTGCCTACCCGTTTTTGAAAGTTTTAGAACTATAATAATTAAGACCCTTAAACCTAGAAATGATGTTCGAAACTAAAAATATGATTTCAAGGCATTTGGCCTACGTGCCTTAGCCTAATATGATGTTATATATGGTTTTCAAGCTTCTAAATATGAAAACGTGATTTTCTATTACAAATAAGGTATAGTACATAATTAGAATAGGAAAAAGATTTAATACATAAAATTTAATTAATTTTGACGTCTTAAATATTTAAAAAATAATTAGAGTCCTAAATATTTAAAAAATAATTAAATGACTATTTTGTTCGTTGCAAATTTTTTGACACTTCCTGAAGTGAAACTATGCAATTTTGATGATAAGAACAATAGAATAATAAAGCTTCTTTTATAGAAACATTACATATATAATTAAAATGGTAAAGGATTTATGTAAGATAAAAATAAAGACTCCTAAAACCAAAAGGAGTTCAAAGTGCTTATATTTTTACCTAATAACTTATAAAAAAAAAATTAATCTAAACCTAAAACGAGTACAAAGTGGTTGAAACTTTCCTAGTATAAATTGAAAGTGCTTGAAATTTAATTGATTAAATTTATTTAAAAAGCCTCCTAAAACTAAAAGGAGTTACAAAGTGGTCGAAAACTTTCCTAAGATAAATTGTGTTTGAAATTCAATACTTCTAAATTTAAGTGGAGGTAGAAAGTGAAAATCCATCCTAAATCTAAAAGTAAATGGAGTTTGAAAGTGACAATAATTTTATTAAAAGATCATCTTAAACATATAAGGAGTACAAAGTTTCGGAAATTTTCCTAGTGAAAATTGAAAGTTCATGAAATTTAATACTACTAAATCTACATGGATTTGAAAAGGCACGACTTGTAGAATTAAAAGGAATAGCAAATTAAAGTCTTAAATAGTAGGAGAATAATTAAATGAGTATCCTTAAATATTAGGAAATTTATTAAATAAATAATTTTAATTATTAGAAAAATATTAAAATAATTTTTTTGACTAGTATGAACTTTATTTTAGAGGATACAAAAGGCGAACGACATTTTCGCTAAGGGCCTTCGTACTTTTAATATAATATAGATATAGATATAGATATAGATTGATAAGTTTAGGGGTGACTCAATCTAGCTTATAGCAAAGATCGATTTTATGATCCATACACATATTTTTTTAGTTATATTAAATTTTTTATTTTATATGTGAAGTTTGAATCATTAAGAAAAAAAATACTTTTAAAAATTATCGTATTAAAGTTTCCATGAAATTTTTAGTCTATAAGAAATTCAAAGTTAAATAATTTTTAAATATAAAAAATTATTACTCTTTTTAAAACAGATTAATTAAATAATGTCTTACAAAATAAAACAAAAGAATATTAATTCTTGTAAAAAGAATAGAGTTCTTGCCTATCAAAATAAATTCATATAATAGACTCAGTGTAACTTACCTAATACTAAACCTTGCTCATAGTGAAAGTTTATCGCATTCAACTACCTTTTAAATGAGTTTAGAAGGAAAATGAACGAAAATTCGGAAGCTTAATAGTCTGATTGGCAGTATTTTTTCCCCTCAACTTAAGTTGTTTGGCGAAGCTTTTTGGGGGAAAAAATACATTAGGAAAAAAGCAGAAACAGTTTTTGAGAAACAGATTCTTCTTACCAAAAACACCCTTAACAAAATATAATATATACCAAAATATTCTTACTTATTTTAAACCAAATACCTAGGCTATTAATGTATAGGTATTTTTTTCTTATTTTTAGGATAGCTTTCTAAGGTATAGTGACTTCGGGCATGAATGCTTTTATATTTATGGAATAATTTTTTAATATATTTAAATTATCTTAAAAGAATTAAATACTTTTTAATTTTATTTTCATATTTTACTTAAATAAAATAAAAAGATCTAATTATTATCCTTAATAACAAATTTTTGAGATTGATTACTTACTTATAATATTAAACGTTTAAGTAAAATCTATTCATGTCCTTATTCGTAATTTAATATTTAAAATTTATTTTGAAAAGTTTGGCCAAACACAAATTATTGCTTAAAAATATTTTTCAAATTGATTAGTCAAACACAAACTGCTAATTTCAGGAGTAATTTTTCGAAAAGTACTTTTAAAATAATCTGAATTTCCAGCTAGGCTATAAATATGACTATAATCTGTAGATTAAAAAAAAACAAAAAATATGACTATAATCTAAGGCCACAAAAAGAAAAGATCTAAGGCCAAAAATGTAGGGCGGAGAATGGTTGCCGCGTACTTATTCTGAACACTGAGCGACGTGAGGGTCCCATTTTTATACAGCCGTCCAATTTTTTTCACTTTCTATAAAATAAAATCCCCCTTACCAATTTCCCTCTCACCCCAAACATTAAAATTTTCTCTGCCCTAATTACTCTCTGCTTGAAAATCTCTTAAATCAGAAATTTTCACCACCCATTTAACCAAACAATATGAAGAAGAAATCTGCTGTATTTTTGGCATTCGTTGCAGCAGCTTCAATCTCTACTAGTAGTTCCACGTCTTCATCAAAAGTTCGAATTTCTCGTAATCAGGTAAATTTCCCTTCTTGCACTTCTACTTCTCTTCTCTTTTTAATTTGAGTCTTCATTCTCTTTAAATTTCCTCTTTTCTGTTATGTTTGGCATAACTTTATTACACTATATTTGTATAAATGCCACTGTATTCACCGCCCGGTTGTATAATTTCAGAAAAGTATGTATTTTTACTAAGTTGACAGTTAGCACCCGTTAGGCGATAAATTTTGGCTATATTTTTTCAAAATTTTTTTTTGAAAGTACTGTTTGTTTATGGAACATGATCAGTTTTTGATAAAGTTTTGAAATTTTTTTCAAGTTCCCAAAAATTTAATTTTTTTTTCTCTCATAAAACTTCAATTTTTTTTAAAATAAAATTCATGTCCAAACACAATTTCTAACTTTCAATCAAATTTATATCCTTTCAAAAATTGTAGTGGGTGCAACGGTATAGTGTACCCATTTGCTTGATATTTTTGATCAGTATCTGCTTAATCAGTATCTTCTTCTTTTCATTTCGTTGAAGGGTGACAAACCTTAATTCTTATTCTTTTTTTTTTTAAAAACATTATTTTTCAGGATAATAGTTGGAAGAAAAAGGAAGAAAGTTCTTCAACGCCTAAGACAGTGCAGCCATCATCAGATAAATTTGCACCGAGGTTTGATGGATTAAAGTTCATAGAAACTCTGGTCACCGCTCACAGATAAGTTTGATTTTGGAGAATTAGTGAGCTCATTTGGATAGATTGTTAGGATATAAAAGAGAAATAGAGAATTGTGTAATACCCATTGTTTCCCTCTTTAATTCTTTGACATTTTATTGGGTATAGTATTTGCTCAATTAGAGAATTATAGGCTCCAAAAAAAAGAGGAGAATTGTGGACTCATTTAAGAGTTCTATTTTTTTTTTTTTGATTAATATTAGAATCCAGAAGTATTTACTTAGTTGGTTTTTTTTTTCTCTTTTATTGGGTCAGAGAGTTGATTTGTGAATTGGTCATTATTTGGGTGAATGGATTTTTATTAGCTGTTTCTTTACCTCCTTTTATGGATTAATTTTTAGGCATGATAATTAAACTTTACCTGTTGTATCGATAAAGTTACAAATATGATTTGTAAAAAATAGTCCGATGCACTAAGATCTTTCTATGTGCGAGCGGGAATTACTTGTCAAAATATCATATTTCAAAACCATGTGTTAATAGTTATTCAAGAGTGAATTATAGAATGCCCTTAAGAGTACAATCTTTTTGACACCTTGCTTTTTCAACTTATTAACAATTGTCAAAAACAAAACTAATCAAAGTAATATTTTAAAGGATTCTTCTTGGGAAAATGTTATTGGTATGTATAGTAATCTCTTTTCAAAATCACAAACCTTCCTTTTTAGTGTAGAATTTATTAGTAATTGACACATGCTCTAAACTTCTGTTGAGAGGTCTTCGTCAACATTGGACTACCTTTATAAAGCAGTGGATACAAAACAAACTTGATTTCACCCATACAAAAAGAAAGACTCACTCGCCACTACTTGCCTTGAAATCAAAACCACATATTCAACAACCATATTACAGCATCTTTCCGAATATTCAACATCGATCCTTAATGCTCTTTTCTATTTGCTTTTATGACATGTGATATGTTTCTTTAAGTCCATTATTGTATGCTTTGGACGACTAGTCGTGCCCTAAAAGCTTTCACAAATTCCCAATTCTACTATTGTTATACGACGCAACACTCCACTCTATGTTACGACCTGGAATTCCCACTTTCGACTCTATTTCACAATACTCTGCCCCAAAGGCGAATTAAAGAAGACCATAACACTGACTAAAAGTTTTACTTATGTTCTTAAAGGAGTTTATTTGTCTTGATAAACGTACCAACATCAAAATGTACATAGATAAGTTGATGGAGGATTGACTCAATCTAGTTAAGGGCATCTTCAACCTTCACTCCAAAATGGAGTAAACTAACTCCAACCATTATGTCATTTTTTATTCAAAAAAAAAAAATCTTTTTTATATTCTTCTCTCTTCTATATTATATTATTATCTTTTATTTAAATTTTATTTTCTTATTTCCATTAAATAGATCCTATTTTTTTCTTTTTTACATATTCATCCTACATAATTCATATTTCTTTCTTATGTAACCATTTAATAAAATTATTTCATACCATAAACTTTTAAATAATTTAATTTGTACGCAAATATTATAGATTATACATTTTAATGGATAATTCAAATAAAAGTGAAATTATTGAGATACAAGATAACTCAATACATATTACATGTAGTTTAAAGTTTAGTTTAGATACTACTTAATATTCAACTTTAACCTCTAGTATGCTCCCATAAATGATCTATTAATACAGTACGAAGTGCAAAATGAGCATATTTGTCCTTAGTTTTTTTTGTGTTGACCTAAAAATTATTCAAATTGGTGATTTTCACCTACTATCATTTCTACTGTTGGAGTTGGACCTTCCAAGCATCTTGAATTGGTGGTATTAAGATCACGCTCATCCTCGATTATCATGTTGTGCAATATAATACATGTTGTTAATATATCATATAGTACTTCTTTTTTTCAAAAACGTGAGAGTCCTGCAATAATTGCAAAACGAGCTTGCAAAACTCCGAATGCACGTTCAACATCTTTTTGACATGATTCTTGTTTCATTGCAAAATATTTCTTCTTTGGCGAACATGTCTCACGAATAGTTGCACAAGGATAGGCCATTTTGGATATATACCGTCAGCTAGATAATAACCTGCATCATATTCTTTTCCTTGAATAACATAATGGATGGGAGAAGTAATACCTTTAGCAAAATTGGAAAACAAATGTAATGACTCTAAAACATTAATATCATTATTGGTGTTGGGTGTCACGACCCAAGTTCTTCCTCCGTGAACTGTCGTGATGGCACCTAGTCTCTACGACTAGGTAAGCCTAACAATTTGCGGAAAAAGGAATTTAAAAGTACAACTAGCCATCCAATAGGTAAATATAGATAAAGTGTTTAAAATGCCGCTCGTCATATACAATAATAACACTCCCAAAATCCGGAATCTCAAACAAAAGTAATTACAGAGGGTCTATAGCTAAAAAGGAGAATAGAGAGGGACTTCTCGGTCTGCGGACGCGGCAGATATACCTCGAAGTCTCTGAAATCGCTTTGCCTCACTGATAGTATGGCTGAGCAGAAGAACCTGGATCTGCACACGAAAAATATGTGCAGGAAAGGACATGAGTACACCACAGCGGTACCCAGTAAGTGCCAAGCCTAACCTCGGTCTAGTAGTGACGAGGAAGGTCAGGGCCCTACTGGTTATATACATATAATAAGGTAAGACAATATGAAATATGACAGTATAATTAAAATACTAGCAGTCGATAAAGAATAAAATCACAGAAAGAATATAACTCAGTACATAGAGATAGCAACAGGGGATCTCCCAGGATATCGTCCCGTAGTCCCAAACGTAAATGTGCAGAGGATCTCCCGGGATATCGTCCCGTAGTCCGAATCATAAATATGCAAGGGAATCTCCCGAAATACCATTCCGTAGTCCCAAAGTAAATATCCAGTACAGGGAGATCTCCCGGGATCTCGTCCCGGTAGTCCCAATTATAAATGTGCAGGGGGATCTCCCGGAATATTGATTAGTAGTCCCAAAGTAAACATGCAAGGGGGATCTCTCGGAATACCGATCCGTAGTCCCAAAGTAAATACACAACAGTCTTAAGAAGGAAATCTATAGTTCTATTCGAGAATAAACAACAATTTCTACTCTAAACATGCTGCAAAGAATCCAAGTGCAGTTAAAGCAAGTAAGACAATTAGGTCACATAAGCATGCTTTTTCTATGCTAAACAGGAGGCTTCAAGTACAAGTATTGCTCAATTAAAAGAAAACACAAATATTTACTTAATGAAAATGGGGTTTTCAATAATTAGAAAGTGTACGCACTCGTCGCCTCACGTACACGGCACTCATATAACAACAGTACCAAAATTCAAAGGGGAGTTCCTCCACACAAGGTTAGGCAAGCCACTTATCTCAAACCAGCTCAAAGTCAATCCGAAATCACGCTCTTGCCACGAGTATCCAACTTTGAGTGGCCCAAATCTAATCAAATCAATTTCATAATGTAAATATAACTACAAACAACGAGTTTAGCTAAAGGAATCGAAACTAAGGCAAGAAAATAGAAAATCGCCCAAAAATCCTCCCCGGGCCCACGTCTCAGAATCGGGTAAAAGTCTTAAATTATGAACACCCATTCACTCACGAGTCTAACCATACCAAAATCACTCAAATCCGATACCAAAATCTCGATCAAATTCTCAAAATTCGGCCTAAGAACTTTCCTCAAATTTTCTCAAATTTTTACCCCAAATCCGAAATTAAATGATAAACTAAGCTTAGATTAATGGGATATAATCAAAAAGGAGTTAGGAATCAATACCCACTGATCTTCTCTTCAAAAACTCCCACAAAATCGCCTTCCACCGAGCTCCAATTTGATTTTAGAAGTTATTAATTTCAAACCCTCGATTTCTCTATTTCTGCCAAGCGAAATCCTCTTCTGCGAGGGGTTAACTGCACCTGCGGTCCCGCTTCTGCGGCTAATACTCCGCACCTGTGAAATTTCATTAACTTTCCAGATACCGCACATGCGGTCCTTTACATGCAGATGCAGTTCCACTTTTGCGGTCCATGGGTTGCATCTTCGACCACTCCCCTTATGCCTTAGACCGCACCTGCGGTTGCCTAACCGCTTCTGCGGCACCGCACCTGCGGTCCAAGCTCCGCAAGTGCGAAACCAACAGGTTCGGCAAAGTTCAGAAATTCCTAAGTCCAATTCAACTTCCGTTAAACATCCAAAACTCACCCCAGGCCCCCGGGACCTCAACCAAACATGCCAACCAATCCTAAAGCATCATACGAACTTAATCCAACCCTTGAATCACATCAAACAACGCTAAAACCACGATTCACCCTCCAATCCAAGCCTAATCAACTTGAAATCTCAAGAATTCTACAACCGATGCCGAAACCAACCAAACCATGTCCGATTGACCCCAAATTTTGCACATAAGTTACATTTAACACTACGGAGCTATTTCAACTTTCGGAATCGAATTCTGACCCCGATATCAAAATTTCATTATCGATACGGAAACTTCAAAAATTCAACTTTCGCCATTTCAAGCCTAAATAAACTACGGACCACCAAAACACAATCCGAACATGCCTCTAAGCCCGAAATCACCTAACGGAGCTAACGAAATCGACGAAATCCCATTCCGAGGCCGTCTTTACACTATTACAACTACGATCCAAATTCTAAAGCTTAAGCTCTCATTTAGGGACTAAGTGTCCCAAAACACTCTGAAACTTAAAACGAATCTCCTCGGCAACTCACAATAGCAGAAACAAATACGGGGAAAGCAGTTAATAGGGGATCGGGGCTTTAATTCTCAAAACGACCAGCCGGGTCGTTACATCCTTCCCCTCTTAAAACATTCATTCGTCCTCGAACGAGCATAGAGACATACCTGAAGTGGTGAAAAGAAGAGGGTAACAGCTGCGCATATCCTGCCCGGTCTCCCAAGTCACCTCCTCGACCGGCTAACTCCGCCACTAAACCTTTACTAATGCAATGTTCTTTGACCTGAGCTTTTGAACCTGCCTATCCAATATCACCACTGGCTCCTCAACATAGGATAGATCCTTGTCCAACTGGGTTGAACTGAAATCCAACACGTGCGACGGATCTTCGGAGCATCGAAACAAGAATTATCGGATGAACTCCTGCCAAGCTGGGAAGTAAGGCAAGCTCATAAGAAACATCCCCAACACGTCGCAGTACCTCAAAAGGACCAATAAACCTCGAATTCAATTTTCCCTTCTTCCCAAATCTCATAACGCCCTTCATAGACGAAACCGAAGCAAGACCCGCTCTCCAACCATATAGGAAACATCACGAACCTTCAGGTTCGTATAACTCTTCTGTCTGGAATGG